CCTAACCTGTTCTTCCTCCCACCTATCCCCTCCTCCCACCTCAAGCCACACCTCCATCTCCTACCGACTAACCTCATTCCGCCCCCTTGACCTGTCCGTCCTCCCTGGACTGAACTATCCCCTTCCTAACTCCCCACCTACACTCACCTTTACTGGCTCCATCCCCGCCTCCTCGACCTGTTTGTTTCCTCTCCACCTATCCTCTCCTCTATCCATCTTCTATCCGCCTCCCATTCTCTCCCTATTTATTTCAGAACCCCCTTCCCCTCCCCCTTTTCTGATGAAGGGTCTAGGCCCGAAACGTCAGCCTCTCTGCTCCTATGATGCTGCTTGGCCTGCTGTGTTCATCCAGCCCTGCACCTTGTTGTCTCAGTGAACCAAATGGGTTTTTCATGACAATCGATGATGGATTCATGGTCATCATTTCGACACATAATTCCACATTTTGCTTAACAATTGAATTCAAATTCTCGCATCTGCCGTGGCAGGATTTGAACCTGGGTCCCCAGAACATTACTTGAATCTTTGGATTAGCAGTCCATCAATAATACCACCAGGTCATTGCATACCAATTATCTTTTGTTACACAAAGATATTAAGGAATATGTGCTAAAGGCAGGAATGTAGAGTTTTCCACAGATCTCACCGAATGATGGAATAGGCGTGAGGGGCTGAACAGCCTCTGCTGTTCCTACATATTCACTCTTGATACACACTGGTTTCTACTTGTCATTGTTTAATGGCGGCAAAATTTCAGCCAGTCAGTTGCACATGTGATGCAAAATGTGCAGATGGAAGAACATGACATCCAAGATTGACTTGACAACATTATTGCTGCCTATAACTTCCTTATGACAGAGCTTAAAGTAGATCAGAGGGTTAGAATTGCAGTAAGGACTTCTTGATCTCGAATTAGAAAGGTATCAGCTCTATCTGAACGCAATGAAGTGCATACTCCTGATACGGAAAATAAGGCGTTACTCTTTTCCACACTCGATAGAACTAAATTTTAACAAATCACAGGTGCATAAATAAATCTGTTCTGTGAACAGTCGTTACATTCAATATGAGTAAATCAAGTGAAGGTGCAGTTGTGATGTAGCCTGTTGACAAAGCATAGAAGCATTTCCTGTCAATGTTACTGCAAAGGAAAGGTTCTATCTTATTTTCAAGTCATTTTAAAATAAAAGCAAACTTATGTTTAATGCTATATCCTGAGGAAAGCCACACTTCAAAGAGTTTCACATCATAGCTGGGAGAATCATGGTGGGAGATTCTCCACATTGCACAGACTCAGACTGTGGCATTCTGCACATTGCTAGCACAGATGGAATTGCTAACTTCCTTTAAAGAATATACATCAAATTAAGTGTGGGCTTTTCAGGAAGACTAGCATCTCTGATTAGCACACTTAATAAATGGTGCCAAAGGACAGTCTTACAGGTGAAGCATCACAGATACGGATTGTATAGGTTAGGAAAATAAGAAATAAAGCTAAAAAGATAGACATTACAGTCTTTAAATAAGGGCTTCCACGTGGTCTGACTGGGCTTTGCCATTTCCCAACCAGTAAAGCCTGACTTCCAACATTCAGAGTGTCATGATTGGGTTAAGTCAGAAGTCACATGACCCAGGTTAAAATCCAACAGGTTTATTTCAAATCACATGCTTTCGGAGCACTGCTCCTTTATCAGATGATGTCACTTCAACTGGCAACAGAGCAGTGCTCTGAAAGACTATAACCTGGTGTTGCGTGACTTCTCGCTTTGTCGACCCCAATCCAACACCAGCACCTTCGCACGATGATTGGGTTGTAAAAGAAGAGACAGAGACACTATTTGGAAGATCCACGTGTGTTAATAGTGATTCTCCTGTGACTGATTACAGCTAATGGGAGGAAATGGAGGTGATGTTGCAAACTGGCATTGGTTGGTGCCATTAAATAAGCGAGAACCAACAACGACAGAAAATCAGGCAGAGTGCTTGTTGATTCACCTATTTCCTAGGCGTTGCTCCTGTAAGACCAGGTTTTTTCCATACACAAATGTTCTTTCACTGTGCTTGTTGTTCACAGGCAGAGATGTGACAGCACTGGCTCTCATGCAAGTAAATGCAACAGGCATTCTGGTGTTTCGGTTACAAGAAGTTGCAGAGCTGCTGCTGGGAGACACAGAATGTCAGCCACCACCACTAATTCATAACTCATTGACTTCAGTGGACTGGGCCCCTTGTAGAGTTACCAATTTAAATTTTTCTCTTTCACAGACAGGTAGGCTTTCTGTTGTTTACACCTGCATTAAACTAATTCTAGTTTTCATGGTTACGAAATGGTATATCACTGTTTAACAACATAGACCTCAGTGAATAGTCAACATAGAATTTGGAAATGATTCTGCAACGTTCAGACACAAATACAAATTAAAATCTCAAATACCTGCTTAAAGATATCCAAACCATCTAATTAGGATGGGTTTCTGCTTTAAGCATATCTCCTGCAGCTGCCAAGTTTATTTTAATGCACTTAAGCTCAGGGTGATAGCTGCCAGTAATTTCAATTCAGTGCTTTGAAAACTCTGCAGAACACAACGAGAATTGGCAGACTGACAGAGAACATCCACACCAAGGGCTTTTAAAGAAACAAACAACTGAATCTTAGGATGCTTCATCCACAAGCAAAGTTCCTGTTTGTTGAGAAGTAATTAAACACATCGTCCATTACCTTTTCATCCTCCTCATCATCGTCGTCAGTGTCCACATCGTAATCCTCCTGACACAGCAAATACAAGAAGGAGAAAGGAATACAGTTAGCCTTAAATAACCTTCTTTTCTTACACTGATAATGTTTTAAACTCTAGATCATTACAATGACTTGAAGTGTTCGATGCTTTAAAACAGTGCTCAATCACTAAAAATAAGAGGCCACCATATTTATTACACTGATCGTAAATTGTGGAGCACACTCACTCACACACTCACCATTTCTGTCACAGGGATAAAAATGACTTACAGTGCTTAACAAACACCACTAAGGACAGGGCAGTGGGACTAGCTAGAGTGCTCTTTGAGAGAGCCAATACAGACATGATGATTGACCAGCCTGTATTTTGTAACTATTTTTGACTTAATGAAGTGAGCAAGTTCCAAAAGATATTCTGTACTTAAAAGAGTTCATCAACACTGTTCGACTTCTGTGATGTCTATCAATAGCAAAACATCTGCTCTAAATGAAATGTTTTACTACTTATAGCTTCTGCTATAGCTTGCTTGCTCATTTGTTTTCTTGTTTCAGCATCTTACAATTGGTCATATTGTTGGTTCATTCATCATTCCTTCATTCATTTTTTCACTCATTCCTTCATGTGTACTCTACCCACAGGGGCATCCTTGGATTCATTTTGAGCTGCTTTTCTTAGCAAGTTTTTTTTGTGAGTGGTGTTTTCATATTGCTTTCCACTTTCAGGAGCAGGGTACACAGATAGTCATAGAGTCATACAGCACAGAAACATACCCTTCAGTCCAACCTGTCCATGCCGAACAGATTTCCCAAACTAAACTAATCCCTATGTTTGGCCCATATCCCTCTAAACCTTGCTTACTCACGTACCTGTCCAAATGTCTTTTAAATGCTTTAGCTGTATCTGAATCTACAATTTCCCCTGGCTGTTCATTCCATATACAAGCCACCCTCTGTGTGGAAAAGTTGCCCTGCAGGCCCCTTTTTAAATCTTTCCCCTCTCACCTTAAAAATATGCCCTCCAGTTTTGAACTCCTCAACCCTAGAGAAAAGACCTTTGCTATTCATCTTATGTCTCAAATGTACCTCAGCTGGAACTGGAATCAAACCCATGCTGTTCATGTAGTGGAAATGTCACTAGGCTCATAATCCCCACTAAGACCCACTAATATGGTGGGGATATGAGTTCAAAGCCAATCACAGGAACTAGTGGATCATAAAATCAATGAATAAATCTGAATATAAAGCTGGTTTCCTGCTCAATATTACTAAGATCACCTTCGATTGTAGTGAAAACCCATCTTGTTCTTTGTTGTAAGTAGCTATAGAACCACGAAACAGGACCTACCACACCAGTGATGTGGGAATGGGATTGTGATCCAATTTTCAATCTTATGTCAGTGCGCTTCTCCCACTGTACAGAAGTGGGCTGGCATTTGCTGGTTAAAGAGGAACCATTGTATGGCTTTAAGGAAGAAGGTCCCACCATTCAATAGCTGCGCATCTAATGTGGAACACCCACTCTACACATTTCACCTACAGATTGGCATCGGAATGGCAAATACAGGGACAATCTTTCACCACCTAAAGACAAACAGAAGGGTGGTTTACCCTTGTGAGAGAGTCTAGGATCAGGCGCCATAATCTTAAAATAAGGGATCGCAGGTTTAAGACAAAAATGAGCAGGAGTTTTGAAATATCTGCACAGAGGCCGGTGTCCCATCACCAAATCACCCTTTATTTACTAGTGCACAGTACACTGGCTGTGACCAGCCAACTTGGAGTCAGTCCTGAACTGAGGAGACTCTAATCTCCGGGTTATATTGGTTAACCAAGGCGTTCCTAATTGGCCCAAGTTAACAACCCCAATCAATAACCTTGTAGTTAATGAGGTCAACCTGGTCCCAATCACTACAAGTTTCTTCTCTCAGAGAGTTGCCAATTTGTGAATTCTTTTACAGTAGAGGGTTGTAGAGGCTGGGTTGATAAGTCTGTTCAAGGATGAGCTGGTCAGATTTTTCATCAGTAAGGGGATCATGGGTTAAGAGGAAAAGATTGAGGAAATGGTGTTGAGGATTATCAGATCAGCCTTGATTCATTCAATGGTGGAGCAGGGTCAATGGGCTGAATGGTCTGACTCTGATCCTATGTTTTATACTCTTAACAACTTGCCCAGTATAGGCTGGGGACAGGCCAGATGTAGCGGGTAAGGGTTCAGAATCCCTTGGGCTAAGTCCGACAAAGGTAGGTGGACCTTGGCTGTGGTAGATGTCAAAGATCCCATGGACAACGGAGAGCACAGGACTCCTTGCCACTGTCGTGGTCAACATTTATATGCTTCAACCATCTCCTATGTACACACTTCAAAAAACCTCAATTGCTATAAAGTGTGCGGAAAGTCTGGAGAAAACTTTGATGTAGTTTTTGGGTTTTGAGTTGCCCACGGTAGTCAATGCACCCTCCTGATCAATGGTCCATCTTTGCAACAACTTCAAACTCAACTTTGAGCATTGGGGGAAAATGTCCCAATTCCTCTCAATCAGATGCCATTCAAATGTGGTCTGTGGACATTTAACACATGCACACATCTGTAAGTTCAAGGTGACTATTCGTCAGGAGCTTTGAATGGGCATTTCTAAAGGAGGTTTTCATAGTTTTGGCTTGGTCTGTGTTTAGAAAGGATTAAATATGGACTCCATTTACCACTGCAAAAATCTTAATCTGGAATAACTCCAGAGCAATTTCAGTTTCAAAGACCAGAATCTTGAAGATTTCGAAAATTCATGACTGTCAGGACCTACCCCTGCTAGTGATAGTGGTCTGTCTCTCTGCCTACATGATCATACAGGACGTGGTTCCTGAACGTGGAAGGGACAATCAGGCAGGATAGGCCTAGCAGTTAAACTGGAAGACGTAAGCACTGTTAAGGTGTGAGGGCACTGACAAGTCATCGAAAAACTGAGGCCTGTGCAAAAGGGATAATGAAAAACAAACCCAGATCTGTGAGGGTCCTTAGTATGGAGCAGAAACTCCTACACAAGGGTGCGTTCAGCTGCGACTGCCTTTAGCCTTTTCTGCGTTGGGCCTCACTGATACAAGACACTTGGTCGTTCACGAACTGCAGAAAGTTAGCCCAATGACTTGGCAGATAATTAGCATGGCAAACAGAATGTCTGAAAGGTCAATGAGTGTAAAAGTAAGGAAGTCTTGCCAGAACAGGACATTGGTGAGACTGCACCTGGAAAACTCTGTATAGTTTCAGTCTCCCTATTAACTGAAGAATACACTTGTATTAGAAGCAGTTCAGAAAAAGTTCATGATGTTGATTCCTGGATGGAAAAGGCTGGTCTTGCAAAGAAGGATTGAGCACACTGGGTCTAACTAATTGGAGTTCAGAAGAATGAAAAGTGAATGAAAATCAAAACATATAAGATTCTGAGGGGCTTCGACAGGGTAGTTACTGAGAGGATGTTTCCACTTGTGAGGGAAACCAGAACTAGGGACTGATGGATGTGTAGTAGAATGTACCACGCCAACTAACAGTTGGCATAGAGCACTGTAGTCAATCCTCTTTCCCCTAATTGGTCTGAGGACCTGACTGGTCATCAGTGGTTGATGATGAACCACTAATGAATTGAGTTGAGTTAACAACTAATGACTTGAGAGGGCCAAAGATTGGTAAGTTTTTGGCTTTTCACCAGTTGAGCTCCATTCTGATCATCTGTCAATCATTTCTCCGCTGGACAATTTGTTTTTAGCCTCTTGGCTGTGCTTTACACACAATGTTGTATCGAGTTTAGCTGGAACATGGTCCATTAACTTATCTACAGTAGCCTCTGGGAGCCTTTCCATCTTCTGCAGACTAGATAGAGGTTTCTAACCACTTCCTGGGCAAAGTGGACATTTTATCCCCTTTCGTGGTTTATTATACATGTCACACCTCTTTCTCAATTTAATAAACTAAATATCCATGGTTGTTGACTTAATACATTTTTTGCTATCTTAAAATTCTTCTACGGTGTTCTTCTTTTGTCAGACTCTGTCTTTTAAATCCTCTAAACGGCCCTTTTGCCACTTTAAATCTGCTCTGTGATGTCTCCAATGCTGCAGACTCACTGTCAATTACTGTAATGGTCCTTGATTTCACTTTGGCTATAGCTGTGTCTCGTGGTGTCCACTCATGATGGCAGCAATGCTCAACGTGAGCAATACCTTCTCCTTTTGTAAAGCTCTATCCTTCCAACCTGGTATTTTACATACACTAGGATCACAAGCTAGACGCTTCTTTCTTCACCCAAAGAGCGTATGATATAATTAGATATAACAAGGTGTAGAGTTGGATGAACACAGCAGGCCAGAAGAAGGGTCTAGGCCCGAAGGGTCTAGGCCCGAAACGTCAGCTTTCCTGCTCCTCTGATGCTGCTTGGCCTGCTGTGTTCATCCAGCTCTTCACCTTGTTATCTCTGATTCTCCAGCAACTGCCGTTCCGACTATCTCTGATATCATTAGACTGGTTAAAGCCTAAAGCAGTTTCCAACATGAACCCTTTCAGGGACAACACCCAAAACAACAGGGAGCATGGTTTAAAGATAGGGGAACTCCCTTTGAAATGGGGTTAAGAAGGAATTTCTTTCACAAAGAGTCATTAATCTCTGGAATTCTTTTCCACAGAAAGTAGCACAGGCTGGATCATTGAATACAGACAGATTTTTGACTGACAAGGGAGTCAAGGTTATGAGAGAGAGGCAAGAAAGTGCCAATAACGCCATAGTCAGATCAGCCCTTATTTTATTAAATGGTAGAGCAAGCCTTATATGGGGAACAGCCTACTCCTGTTCCTTAAAATGTTATTAACCCTGGCATACGGTTTATAAACCCACGTCCACTGGGCTGGCGATAACATCTACCAACCTTTCGACCGAAAACTTCATGCTATGGTTTATCACGTTGATCTTACCCCACTGCGTATGCCAGCCACGGCAAGACTGAACCAAAATTTTCAAATTTGGCATCATGCTGCGGTGGTTTACCCA